CACCTGATATATTGTAATACCAGCAGACTTCAGTGTCTTCTCTGCATCTCTGAGGCACTCAGAACAGAGAGTGAGACTCTGCAGGTATTTGGTCTCAGTTCAGAGTAGACAACCTGTGTTTAACCTTTCTAAGTAATATGTTTCTTAGGAATAAGGTATTTAACAACATACATCAGCTATATGCATCATCCACACTCATATCCTTGTTGCAATTCCACTGAGAACAGATGTCTCAAGCTCGGTCCCAAGGAGGAAACGGATGCTTCTGCTGTTCTTTAACAGGCCCCAGCAGCTGCTAGGGCAACACAGCCTACTGAAGCTAAATATGCCAAGTGTCCAAGTGAGGACATTGCTCCACATGCACTCTCTTCCCAGAATTTTCTGTTTATTCCTTTGACTTAAATTTTGAGTATACAGGACAGGAAGTCCTTAGGCCTAAATCATGTTCTGCCACAATTGCTGCTTTCTATCCTGTTTTGCAACCCCTTCTAACAGATTTCCCCCTGTGCCAAGAGTAAACAGCTTGCCACCATGTAGCTGAGCCAGAGGACAAGAACTGTGCACTATTCACCTCTGCTGTGAAAGATCTGCTTGGACATGAAATGAAAGTGATCTTCTAACTCTTATTCTCCCTCCCTCAAACATTTAACTCTGAAGTTTCGTATCTCAAGTAGGTGAGGTACTTGACAGCCTCTTTAGGGCTATCAGGGTAATCAAGGTAACTCCAAAATGCAAAAATCATATCTGAAAGACTGATGTTGAGGCTAAATTGCCAAATTAATTCAGTACTTCGTTAAATTTTTCAAACAGCTGAAATTACACACGTGGCTACCAAAGGCTTTAGCAGAACATCAGTGCCCAAGCCTGCTAAAGAGGCTTTTAGTGTCAGAAGACATCATCTAAATACACGTTTCTTAGGAAGTCTGCTCCCTGTGAATGCTCATGCAAATATAATCTCCCCTCTTCTTCCCTCATCTCCCAAGAAACTAAGGACACCAATCACGAGTTTACCCAGTCAGCATCACCTGCATGCAACTTGTCTATAGTTCACATCTTCATGCTTCAAAGCCAAATTTGCAAATATGTTCCTCTACAGAGACTCTCTCAAATCACAGTATCAGACAAAACCACCAACTTTACTACTTGTTTGTTCCAATGGCACCTGCAGTTATTTCCATCTGTTATATAAAAAAAGAACCAGAGCAAACTATAAAGTAATAAACAATTTATTTTTTCTTTACATCAATCTTTATGAAAATAACATCACTTATATTTTGTGATTCAAATTTCTTGTACCGCATATTGCTGAGTTCAAACATGGCACTTAAGGGAACATTCACTTAAACAGCTACACAATGTCATGAAATTGATTAATTTTCCATTTTTCAGTTAAGCACGACTGAACATACCACTCTGTCAAATTTCACACCATTCATTCATTCCTGATGTCTTTAAGGAAAAAAAAAAAAAAAAAAAAAATCTTTCTCTTTCTGCTGAAATACCTTACCATGTTTACAAAGACTGAGGAGAAGGGGAGAATTTCTCACAGAAGACACCTAGAGGGCAACAAAAAGTCTTTCTTATTGATTACATAGCTGGTAAAAAAACCACTGGCCAATCTGATAACACTGGATGATAACACTTCCTGTACATATGTACAGGCAAAGCTGAAATACTGTGCAGTTTTAATAGCTAGAGGTATAGTGCACCAAATTTTTGTCTATGTAACAGAAAATAATAGAATGTTTTAAACAAGTAACCAGAAGTTTCACTGGAAAGCCACACATATGTGTATGAAGACAGAGGAATATTCTGCAAGATGCAACTTAGTGGTTTGGTTTACATCACAAATACTGGGAACCATGCAAAAGGAACTCTTTGCACATATGTGTGTGACCTTGAAGTTTATAAAAATAGTCTTAGCAGTCTTTATTTGCATTAACAGGCCAATTTCTAAATGGCCGGCAGGAATGTAAATCCTCATGCACTGTTTCGGAAGTTTACCCCTAAGTTTACTCCTTCCCCCTAAATACAAATACTTGGGTAGGTATGCAGTTCAGCTTTTGCAGGCCACTGAGTCACACTGTGTTGGTTTCATTGGGTTTAAATACTGCCTATGTATCTTGCATGTCCTTAACTAGTTACCACTCTTCAAAGGTACCAGATTAAGCATCACTAGAAAACTAATAGCCACCCAAAGACATTTGCAACAGCAAGGCAAGCTTCCCCTGACATTGCTTCATGCTATATGCATCTCATTTTTGCTCTAGGTAGACCTCTAGTGGTCACAGGCTAGACGCCTCTGCAGTTTTTTGACCTTTTAACTAAGGCATCAGAAACAATGCTTAACAAAATGAAGCCAACAGCTCATTTTTGAGCTTGTACTTGAGTATAACGGCATCAACTTATTTCATATTTGCAAGCTAACAAAATACCCAGGGGCAACATGATTTCCATAAGCTTCCTAACATTAATGTATTAGATTCATATAGTGGCATAAGAACCAGAGCTACTTAGTTTTCCTGTACAATTGGGTAACAACTTACATAATGAAATACAGTAACACAAACACACAAATTTAACCATCAGCACAACTGTAAAAAATAAATGGTCCTGTAACATTGCAGATCATGTTTTGTCAGCTAGAGAACTTCCTGAACAGTTGCCCTAAACTTAGTTTTATCTTCACAGACTAAAGAGTTCAATGAAATCAGTCTGAAAATGTCTCCTAAAGTCATAGGACTATTTCATAGTGAACCCTCAAAACGCAGGAATAACAGACTTGTAAGAACAGGGTAGGTACATACTTCTAAATTCTTCACCTTAACATTTCAACTGTTGCCACTGGAAGGAAGATCTTCAGCTTAGAAAGATTTCATTTAACACTTGAAAACAAGATTAAAACAAAACCAAAAATAAAAGCAGACCTTACAGATTGATTTAGAGACCAGCTCTTTCAAACCAAGATGGCATAACTAGAAAATTAGAAAACCTGGTCCCATTTTTATATTCAAACACTGATTGTAAGTAAAAAAAGAATACAGTACATGCAATAATGTGAAAAAAACAGCCTAATAAACTCAAGTACACAATCAAGAGTAACTAGGGAATAAAAAACCCAAACTACTGCATACAATAGACAAGGCAGGGAACATTTTTAGAAGACAAATAACATACAAATCAAGATGATCATACCATGTGTCCCTCATTGACAAGGATTTGTTGGCTAATTAAAAATCATATGTCATACAAGAAGCACACTTTTTTTTTTTTTTTAATCAAAAGTAGTCCTGTAAGTTACAACATTCGTCACTGATTAAATATTTCCCTTCCAGATAAATTGACTGATAATATGCTTATTTAGAGAAAGCTACAAATACATTCTCAAAAAAGTGCTGTGAAACAGAAGCAGGATTTCTCCCTGCAGATACTCAAAAGCTTTTCTGAAACGATTACATGAGTATACCTGACAAAGGAGTCCTACTTGTTCTCAGAAAAACAAAAGAAAACAGATAAAGTAGAAGCTTGATGCACTTGACTGTTCCCGATCACCAGTTTTGTTTTTTGCTAACTAACCACTTCCCCAGAACTGAGTGATCTGCTGCCTAGTATCTGAATGCTAGTGTTATCATGACACATCCAGATACAACATTTAAGTCAATCCAACAGCTCAAGAAAGAAGATTGCAAAAGTCCAGAGAATAGCCAGCAAGAAAGAAATCTTCCTCATCCTCAGAACCGTTTAAGAGCATTGCTAGCCACCAAATGAGAAAGAATAGCCTCCAGTCACACTTCCATAGTCAGAAACACCACAGCTGAACACCTCACATGTTTCCTTATAGCTGTCTCGTAAGGACACTCATGCAACACTCACAGCAAAGCTGAGCACATTAAGAGAAAATTGCATTTTTTTTCTGGAAAAGGATCTCGAATTTCTGTGTGCATGCTGTGACCTTTAGGCTCCTTTGACTGATTGATAAATATTTGCTTTAGGAATCCTATCACTACCACTACTGTACAATAATTATACATTCATCCAGCAAAAAGAATGCTATGTTTCTTCTTAAAGATCAAGACTTCATATTATTTTAAGCCCTAAATAGGAAGAAGTATTCACATAAAAATATAAAAAAAACCCAAACAAAAAACAACCTTCAACAGATACACAACTAATTAGCTACTAGGACACGGTACTCTTGTGGCAAGCTCCGTTCTTCTTCCATAATAGCTGGTTTTCGGTTGTGGCTTTTTTGAGACATTGCAAGCAAAATAGTGAAGAGAAATAAAATTGACTAAACAGAATTTGATCTATTAACCTCTTTGCATTAATGAGAATCTTTATCAACACAGCTGCCCAGAAAAGCATAAGTGATATTTGATATCACTGCTTCAGTATACACTGATCATTCAATGACAAATAGGTACTTATTTTACCTTTAAGTACATATATTCAAGTGTTCTGTTTGATGATCCATTTCATGTTACTTCGGGAAAAGACAAAGGAACATAGAAGTTCTTCCTGTGCTTCCTTCCATACTTTTCTAGTTTGTGACCTCAAGAATGGCTAGTTTATTCAAGGACAACATGATGAAAGCCAGCTATTGAACCAAACTGAAACTGAAAAATATTACGTTCTCCCACATTGAAACTGCGCTACAAAAAACCATGATTACATTAAAAAAAATGAAGACTGGAAATGTATGTAGTAAACAGAGCATGGATTTCTCTTACTACTGTTTCACATACAGGCACTAATAGTGCACTGGGAGAAAACAAGTGGTAATTCAGCTGTTTGACTAAACCAAAACAGATACTAAGTGCTCTACATACAATTTCATGAACATAAATGTAAACAGAAGTGTTTGGTCTCCATACAAAGCAATATGTCTGAAAAGTGCTAGGGTTTGGAAATCTGTCCTGCATATTTCCAAAAAGCAACTAGTTTACATTCTGTTTGACAGGATTAATAAAGTGTTTTGGAGGTTAACTCACTTTGGTCACGATCCCAAAGAAAAGTTTATGTTAAGTAGTTTCAACTATCCTCCTCATCATCACTAATAAGGTCTCTCTTTTCTACACATGTGTCTCGTTCACGCAGGAAGTCCTCACGAATGGCTTCTAGTTCTGTTAGTTCAAGACGCACTTTCTCCAGGTGATAGGTCCTTCGGTTCCTGATCTGACGTAATGGAAAAGGATTCAGGTCTCCAAAAGCAATACCCATCAGTCTCCTGCAAGATTACACAACGTTAGAAGACAATAATTCATATTTGGCGTTTTTTAAAATCAGTTTTGAACTTCATCCAGTATTTAGTATATGGCTCGTATCTCTGGTCTCCTTCATATACCTGACAGGTCTCAGATGTTATCAGCATTGCAGGAAAGTTCCATAAAGCACTCGGTTTCAAAGTTATTTCAAGTGATAAAGTGTTATCAAATGCTCAAGTTCGCATCAAAGTTCGCAAAGCCACCTGCAAACTCTATACAATGCTATAGCGATTACAACCTTGACAACACTGTACAGAAGATGTAAGCTGGGCTAATCAAGCTGCACTGGCTAGACTGAATACTTGGTACATCCAGTCACCCAGCTACAGACTGGGTAACTTCCTTCATATAACTCACGGAAGCTCATTCTACCCCAGGACAGTCAGCTCTCAAGTTACCCAAAATAGCGCTGTAAGAGAGCACATAAAACCTGGGATAATACAAATACAGACAAGGATAATACAAAACAAATATAAGCCAAACTTTACAATACAGGGAGAAAGCTCAGGGATTCTGCAGGCTGGAGCACAGATTTCTCCGAGCTCGTGTCAACTCAAGCTCGTCAGATCACATCGCAAAGCACCACTAGAGTATCCATCACTCTTCCAGAGTCATTATACGATCATTCGGTCACAGCAAAACTAATAACTGATTTGCCCAATCCGTCCAAAGACGGAGTTAACTACATAGTTACTGTTGATCTATACCTAAAAAACATTATTTACTAAAGGAAAAAGAGGAACTGGAATATAACTTATTCTAGTTTATTTATCAGATGAACCCAAATATTAAGAAAATTTATTTGGACAGTTTATTTAAGGCTAAGCTCTCCCTAGGTTTGTATTTTTGAGTGAACAAGAACTATTTCCTGCTATTTATAAACAAAATTCATTCCAACAGTTTCTCTACCTGTGTAGAACATGCTATGGAACACAACTTCCATCTGTAGAAAATCCTAACCATGACATCCTATGACCTAGAGCATTACTATGCACGTCTGTAGAGACTTTTCTCCACCAGAGAGCTTAGAATTAGAAATTCATGGCAAAATAGTTTTCTAACCCATTGAGAATGTCCATGTTCCTCTACAAGATGGCTTTTTGTCCATATCAGTAAAGACATCATTCCACATGCTTCTGCATTGTTTAAACTTCACTGTTGTAAAACTTGTGCAAAAATAGCAGAATAAGAAACCAGGTGGTTTGAATCATGCCCTATCAGTTCTAGCAGGCAAATTCATACTCCCTAGGTGGCACTACACTACTACTTTCAACTCTGACTTTTAAAATTCTAAGAAAACAGAGATTTACAGGCCAGCACAGCATATATTTGTACTGTAAATATCTATGATGCACAGAATTCTGTCTTCACCTGAACTCACCTCACCATCTGCCAAAGACACCCAATTAGCTCATTTAGTTAACATCAAAATGAGATCTCTTACAACAATACCAGAAATCTTTAAAATAGGTTATATCAGCATCAGAAAATTTAGACAGGAGAGTTAAGCCATTGTTTCCTTTACATAATTGGAAAAGGAAGAGAAAGCCAAATTTGAAGCTCTGATTAAATATAAAAGTTTTCTTTAAATAAGGGCCAAAAAAATTCCACACATCCCCCCCGCCCCTGCCTTTTCTTTTGCAACCTTTAGTTTCTGCTGATACTGCTGTGGTATTACTGGTACTATATATTACGTACTTGATTATAAGCTATAAAATAGCCTATTTATCAATTATAAAATAACTACAAATTTATTGATTGATTTCTGTTAAAAATACATGTACACTCTTCCCAAAATCAAGTACATTCTTCTCTGTCACTTCCAGATTTGGAATCAGAGTCAGCGTTTATTTCAGTCACAAACAGCTGAATACAACAACTGTCCAGCATTTTCCAAATCAAAGGTGGGGAATGCTAAAATACAAAGCACCATAACTACCTCTCAAGAGCTCAAGAGTTTTTTGGCAATGTTTCAGTAGAGGAAGCAACATCTGTTACCAAGACTTTTACCATTAAATCAAGTGCAGGACATTCTCCCTGCATCAGTCCCAGCAATCCTTTTTAAGCACAGAGTAAGATTTTTCAGTTTCAACTTCTCTCCAGTCAAAACTAGAACATGGGAAGTAAGAATAATAAATAGCTCTTGCAGTAGGAGCCAAAGTATAAGTCTAAATTCATATGGAATTTATTACGGTAAAAACAAACACCTCAGATTCCAGTACCTGGTTTTGTACTAAATTCAAAATCCATAAGTTTCCATATTTGTGCAAAACATATTTCCAGACATTAAACCAATCCCAACACGACTTTTTGTTTTAAGATTAATCTGCTGCTCTACAGTCTTGAAACTAGGAACCTAAAAACATTAGACACTAATTTCCAAACTGTAATTCCTACACAAGGACTGAAAAATAGAAGAGTATGTAATTTGTATTTTTTCTCTGCTTCAACATATATCTTAAAATCAGCTGGATTTGTGGCATTAGCGATGCATAAGAAATCTAAACCTAGTGGGTCATAGCTCACGTTTTTAATACTTGAGCCAGGAGATGGTTCTATTTATTGTAAAACATTTTACAATATAAGTTTTATCTGTAACTCAGCGTGAGACTTCACCTATGGCTGAAATTCTTAAGTGTTGCTACCACGACACAACTGCTCGACAAGACCAACTTGGCAAAGCAATCTCAATCACACCTAAAAAATTAAAATTATGCATTCATCACTTGCGCTTTTGTCTCTGCTAGATAAACTACTCGTGAGAAATCTTAGTAGTTAGTTTCAACTCTAGTTGCTTTGTATCTAAATTAAGGCCTAGATAAAAACAAAACAAACACAATACACTTCTTCCATGCCCCATCACACGTGCTTCAATTACACTCAAATTTCAGTTACTCACCTAGCATCAAGTATAGTGCGTGTGAAATATCGAAGGTACTTGAAAATGGACATTGAATCTTGCAGTTTTAAGATTTCCTCTTCTTTGTATTTAAAAAGTGCCAGGGCAAATCGGAATATTACCTGATAAAAATACATACAATGTTTGGTTCTTTGTAAGAGCAGAATGCACTGATCCTCACTATTATATGTTATAAAACTCAGTGTTACTCTTCCTACAGGTCACATTTGAGCTATCTAATCACACCTCCCTCCATCTCCCTTCCCTACCACTCCCTGCCCATCCTCCATTTCCAAAAGCTGACAAAAACATCTGTTGTGGCCTGTAACCAAGACAAGGTGTTCCACAGTTCTATCCAGAATACAAAATTTCTTTACAGAATTCTATACAGAATATAAATTCTTTGAAGCTTTGAGTTCCTAATTCAGTTGTAGAACAAAGACTGCTGGGCTTGTTAAATGCATTTATTAAGTCATGCAGAGCTAAAATTAAGTTTTGCTTATTAAACAGGTTGTTTGCCAATGCCTTGAATCTTCCCAACACATTGGGGGACTGATGCTGAAGGAATTGCTGTTACCAGTTTGTCAATCGACTTTGGCACAAGCTGGAAGCATTATCTCCCTTCATTCTGAAAAGGCTTCAGTAAGTTCTGAACTTCCTCAGTCTGTACCTGCCTGCCTTCACAAAATGCCATGATGCTTAAAACTGATTTGAATGAACACACAATCAAAATACCACCGTGTGTTTGAATGGTCAAATGAGGCCAACAAGAAATCTAGCTAGTACAGTTTTTGTCTATTTTATAAATTTCCTGTTTTCTCCAATTGCCTATATCTGCTTTAGTGTTATTATTGCGTTTGAATGCAATTATTTTTTTCCTGCACCAATTTTATTGCACAGCAATTTCATAAGTATAAAACATATGAAAATTCTTTCACCTTCACCCCTTAATTTATGAGACAGGAGCCCAGATAGTCATTGTTTGTCACTTGTACTTTAAATGTCTACAGAAAGCTAAACATAGCACTTTGTTACAGCTAATTTTTACATCTTTCCACTACTTCTGCCTCCTTCACTTAAGGTTTCTTCTTTATAGAGTAGCTCTCACTTTGATATAATTACTTGAAACTGATTGACAGCTGCACATAGGAGTAAACAGCACTGCCTATAGCTTTATTTTTCAAAGGTAAAAAAAAAAAAAAATAAAATGGTGGTGGGTGAAAGGAAAAATTAGAATTCTTCCATGTAACTCAAGCTTTTAACTTGCAGAACACAGATAAAATGGAAAATGTTTTGACTAGTTATTTATGCACATTTCCTACCAGTGACTTTAACTGTCAGGATTCTTGTGAAACAACTTTCCTCCAACCTGCACTCACTAACACCACAGTATTTTGTTACCAGGTAACAACTGAAAAAAATGTAGCTCATTAAGTGCACCTTTGGTCCCTCATATAGGAAGGAGTCCCAGATTTTAAAAAGGATGTCGCTAACCACACTGTCCACAAATACCACGAGAAACCAGTTGAAAGTTATAAGCGTATAGTCAACTTTGTACTGTTCAAAATGAGCGTGCAGTCGTGGAAGCTTCTCACTCATTAAATCCTTGAATACTCGCTGATCAACCTAAAGAGATGACAAATATGACATTATCGCTCTTACATTTTCCAACACCTCTGTGATTCAGCGTAGGGCTGTTACCAAGCTGTAAGTGCAAGTTTTTCAAGAGCTAACCAGGAATCCTAGGACTGTCTAGTTAACACTTCTAGGCTAGATCCATCCAAAACATACATGGCCACCCCAGCGCACACTGCTTTTGCTGACACAGCCTTTTGCTTCTCAGTCTACCTCCAGTCTCACAGGGCTCGTCACACACAGATGTTGTGTTCCTACTACAGGTCACTAGTGCTGCACTGCTGCAAGAACATCAGAGCAGAGAACAAGCTGGGGAAAGACTTGGAGGGAGGAGGCAGCATGTACCAGAGCATTACCTGGAAGCAGAGGAGTGCTACAGCATATCCTGCTCACAGTACTGCAAAATGTATTCTCACGCCCCAGACCAACTTTGAGGAAAGAAATGATAAATCAGCTCAGTCAATGTTGTGAAGGTACTAACCAGAAGAGGGGTTAAGGACTGGAGCTCCAAGCAGATCACTCAAAAGTTATTTCAGTGTTATAATACTCAGAGTCCTTGTCCAAACAAGGGCCCTGGTGCCTAGAACTCACCTCTGTCAACTCAACACATCCCCCAAAAAGGTCTGTTGGACAGTTTTAGAAGAAAGTTTTTGACTGACTGAAGTTTACAGGACCATGCTTTGTTTTGGCAGAGCACATACCTGAGATCCTAATAGTGTCTTAGTATAATAATCACGAGGCATGAAAACTTCCACTATGGTTACCAGACACCAAAAAGCATCTTCCTGTTCCAGGTACAGAAGTGCAATTGCTACCAATCTGAAAATAGTGTTTATTTGGAGAAAAAGATTATTACAGTATCATAAAATTCATTAAAAACAATTACAGGAGCTTTTGTATCTGTTCAGCAGAGATAAATGTATTAACAGAAGTGAACTGTACAGCAAAACTGTTAATGAAGCTTAAGACGGGGCAATGAGATGCCTTCTCAGCCAAGCCAAGTATTTTTATTCAGATAAATAAGAAAATAGATAAAAGCAAAAGCAAAATGATTTGCTAGAAGCAATTTTTCCACCAAGGCAAAATAATTAGAAGCTTCCAAGTCCTAAACGTACTACTCCAATTCCCAGACTTTTGTCTTTCCTTATTGAAGGGGAGAAAGAACAAATGGTTCTTGCATTTCACACAAAACTGGTTTAAGTTTAGAAAAATCCTTTCTAGCATGTTTACTTTATATCCATTAAGATAAATATAAGTAAGACTTTTGTCTTTATCTACCATTGCCTTTAAAGAAAAGAAAAAGCCCTAGAATTTTTCAAAGACTAAATTTGTCCCTAAGAATTTCTTAAAGTAGAAAAATAAAAAAAAGATTCAACAGCAGCATTCCTGGTTTTCCTGTTTCCAATGGGTATTATGAATGAGAAAAATATCAGATAATAACTTCATGTTGCTGAGAGTTGTTTGAATATGAAAGCTAATTTTCAATGTTATTTCTCCAACTAAACTTGTTTTATTTATGCATGCAAGAGGAGCTGTAACTACATGAAGTGCTTCTGACATTACATAGCTTAATAAGGTGATCACACTTGAAAAGTTTAAGAGAACCAAAGCAAGGAATAAATATTTAATTTGCTTTCAACTTGTACAAGTTTACTCAAACAAAGAATTATTTACAGTAAAACAAAAAATAAAACCAAATAAGTCCCAGGAGAAAATAACGCTGCACAGAAAGTTCAAATTTAGCAAAAGCATTTCTAACACCTTCTAGTCACCAGAAACATGTTGCTCCAAGTCTGCAACAGCTGCATTCTTCAGACATGTCTTGTGACATGCCAGCAACAATATACAAAAAAGTATGATTTACCTACAGAAGAAAACCACTAGTGATAAATGCCCAGAAAAAGAATACTTATTACTGCATTATTCACTATCTCTACTACTGCTACCATCACCACCACCACCTCACTACCTTTACTATGTTATTCACTGCCTCTATTCTACTTCTTCAGCGCAATTTCAAGTGTTAAAGCTGCTCTAGCTCAAAAGTCTTTTACCCTATTCTAGTCCCTAAATTAGGGCACAAATTGACATCTATAGTATTATATCATGGGGATGAGGGGGGTGTTAGACTCATACCTGCTTCAAATAACATTTCTTTACTACAGATCTCGAAGTGCTAAAACTATTTTTGCAAATGCCAACTTCAATGACTTCAAACTTTTCTTAGCCTTGTAACACAAGAATCATCCTTAAATTTATTACTGCAATTTTGACTGAAGACAGCCTGAGGGAAATTCTGAAATTTGTGGCCTTAACAGGATAAAAAGCTTTCAAGTATTTGTTTGTTGTTTTTTTTTTAAAAAAAAGAAAAGCAAAAACCTAACAAATTCTCACACACAAAAGCTAAAAGATCCCCTACAGATGACGTGAAGACAATGTAAAACCACATTTAAGTAGCTCATTTCTTATGTAACTTAATTTCAGTTCCAGCTCTTTCGCCAAGTTGATTTGACAAGTTTCATGATCCAAGCCTTCTGGGTTTTTTTGTTTTTTAAAATGTGATAGTTATTTGTTTATTTAAACGTTATAAATTATGAACGTATAACCCATAAGACAAGTGGCTGTCCAAAAGCATGCTGTAATATTTAAAAGGCTCATTAAGAGTTTCACTGTAAAGTTATAACTCAAGATTTGCAAAATCTTACCTGTTGAGCCCTTGGCAATATCCTATATCAGGATTTCTCCACGAAAATGCCAGCAGCACATTTCGCAGCTTCTGGATCCCTTCAGATGTTGGGGAGGAATAATGTTTGTTGTTTGGCAAAGTTCTCAAGAGATCCAACTCAATTTGTTTAGATGCAGGATTTTGCTTTTCCAGAGCATTTTGAAGCAAGCTTTGGAAGTACCCAGGAACAGTGCTGTCCTTAAATTTTTTAACATGGAGATTGATACACCATTTCCACATCTTGGAACGATGTTCATGTGGAATTCCAGATCGAATAAGATTCTTTAGTTCTACACAGCGCATCATCTCTCTATTCATTGTGCTTGCAAGATAGTTTTCCCATTTTACCCCTGTGGAGATCTCTCGATTTTCACTGAGAGAAAGTGATCTCAGGTCCAAAGCTCGTGATTTTGCTATTAGTTTCTCCTCATCATCATCCTCTGGGACTGTCTGAAAACCATATATATCATATTCACTGAAACAGAGGGGGAAAAAAATAAAAAAAGGCTCTTAAAAATGTCTTCAGTAGCCCTGAAACTCTCATGTTCCCATCCCAAAGTTACCTCAAATATCCCTCAAGGCACTCCCCATAGCTTTCAAGTTTTAACAATTGCTATTTAAACATTTTTCTAAAGTATATCCTTTATTTAATAATCTCATATACAAAAAACTTTGTGCCCATATTCCATTATATATTACTACATAGATAAAGCAATTTATTTAATAGCATGGTCAAGTTCAAATGAACTCCTCTCTTCAGTAGCTCACTTTCAGCAGCTATACAGCAACATTTGAGTCTAAGTTTTATACTGTACCTCAAATAAAATAACAAATGTATTTACACAGTCAAAAGGATTTTATTATGATACTGTTACTCATGAAGTGAAATACATTAAAAAGTTCAAATCCTGCAAACATATCCCCACTGTCTGTTTTCCATTGTTAGAACTGGGCCCAGTGATCAAGATACACAAATATTTATTTTAATAGGACCAAATTACCTGACCAGGTGTGGTCTGAAAAATGCCTGTTCTGGTTGTTCACTAGTTTCTGCTTTCAAGGCATCTTCCAGCAACTGTGTGATGACCTCACGAGCAGGACTCTGCTCCTCAGAACAAACAGGAGTTTTCATTTCTTGAAGCAAGATCAAGTATTTACTTTCTATCTGACAGAGTTTGGCTTCCAAGCTAGTATACTGCAGAAAACAATAGATAATGTTATAAGTCTTCAGAAACTTACTTAGTACTACACTTTTAAAACCTGGTTAAATATTATTCTATTACTTTATCAGAAACCTGTAAATCAAGAACAGTCAGCTTTACTTTCCCATTTCTGTAGCACCAGAAAACAGAAAGCAACCCTTATGTGTGGAAAATAAACATTATATAAGCATTTTATTACACTACTGTAAAATTATGTATATAAAGTACTTGGGAAAGAAATCTCAGATACTTGTGGCTGAGGCAGAATTGTAGACCAGAGACTTTCTACCACATGTATTTTTACACACAGAAAATCTGAGCAAGCTTTAATTACCATTATATTGGACAAAGGACAGTTGAACCATTTTGTGCTTTTAGCAACAGCTTTAGTCTATGCATGTTTGAACAAAAAGAACTGGAATGGAATTTTAAAGGTACAAGTTAGGTAATAGCATGTAGGAATTGTAAACACACACCCCCGTGCCAACAATACAGCATTTAGACCTGGCCACTGTATGCATTATTTAAAAATAGAAAACAAAAAACAAAAGCAATCCCTACCAAACCATAGCTACAGATATCTTGCTTTAGCTACAGATGTGTGCATATTTTCCTAGCCCCAGGCAATGGAAACCTATTATTTACCTTGAACCTCTCTACACTCAAATTCATCTAAACAGAAGCACAGTTAAAAAGTCACATTCACCATAGCCTAGTCAATCTTCAAGCTCAGGAGAAAACTCTACTCAATGGCATACCAAACCCTTACATATCCTGTCTTTTGCATGCTTCAGTAAAATTATTACAGCCTTTATTCTGAGGAAATAATGTTTTCAGAAATATATATGCCTGTGTTCACAAGCTACAAAAAAGTTCCACTGGTTAACATGATTTTAAAGTCAATTACTTCTTTCAAGAATCCATTCAGAAAGATTAGTCTGTAAGGGCTGGGTTTGGGAGGATGTTTGGGTTTGTTTGGTTTTTTTTTTTGTTTAAGCTATCATATTTAATAAATTTAAGTCATTCCATTTCCATTCCACAGTTATGTTCCCTGACGAGATTTACAACTGAATTTTTGAAAACTGCTTTGGACATTGCTAAAATGAGAACATGTTGTGTTAGTCTGACCTTTGCCTGCCATTCTCTCTCTCTTGCTTCTGCATTTCTTCGTAGAGCAGAAAGTTCCAAAATCTCCTTATTTAAAAATTTATTCTGGGTCTTATAACCCTGAAGATTGTCCTGTTGATAAAAAAAAACAAACTGGATTTTTAATAGAAGTATCTTACAAACAGCAAATGCCTACCAGATAAAGTATACCTTAGAATACAGAACAAGCAGACACTAAGAAGACTTACAATTGAAAATATCAGTATCAAATCAAATATCAGTTTTAGTCTTCACATAAGTAAGTCCAACACACATGTCAAATACGAGCACAGAGCTGTACAGGGTGGTGCTGTGCTTCACCTGCATGCCTCCCAGAGCTACATTCCCAGCAGAAGGCAGCTGGTTGCTGCTTGCTGTGAGGCAGGCCCAGCCCTGTGAGGCTGCACCACCGGGGAGAGAACAGAAATGCTCCAGAGAGCTCACAGTGCTGCACCTCAGCTGGAAGCACGTACCATGCCATATGAGAAGTGGAGACAAATGCCCCTTGGGCTTTGGTTACCCTCATCAGTCCTCATTTAAAGTACAAGTTTGATGTCTCCCTCCATACAGAAATATAAATCCTTAATAAATTTCCTTGCCTAATCCACTCAGCTCCAGGCTACAAATATTACCTCTGAAACCTGAGGTTGTGGGATGAGGGAATGTTGGTACCCTCCCAACAATTGCAATACACCCACACTCTATAGCATCTACAAGCTGTAGTCTGCTTTCTGCCAAGACCATTGATTTCTAGATTCAATTTTGTTTTCTAAAACTTCCCAGGCTTACATACAGGAAAGAAAACCATGAATGTTTAAACGTATTTTAAATTAATTACTTATATTCCAAATCCCTTGGAATGTTAATCAATTTGGAATACAACATTTATCCAAAGGCAAGAAAGCATGTTTAGAGCAAAGTGGGTAACTTCGTAGATCCATTAAGAACTTCTGACACATTCACCAAGGTAAGTTAGAGGGAGGTGGGGAGGGAAGAATGCAGTGATCCTCCTCCTTTCTTCTCTCCTTGGAGTTCCCCCTTTGCCATTCCAAATGCTCTTTGTTTCCTCACTTTTGATATTTAAAAAATAATTAAAAAAACCAAAAAACAAAAAAACCCAACAACTTTCAGCTTTCTGGTTGTTTTCCTCCGCCTTTATATTTTCCTCTTACCCTTACTTTTTCCTGTTCCTTTGATTACTTCTCACATCACTCCTCCTCCACACCAATGACTAAATTACTGAAAGTATGGGACACTGTAATGTAGATGTACCAACCAGCTCAAAGTATAAAAGTCCTGTTTAGATTGCCACATAACAGTTCAAAGTGTAGATTCCAAGCAGAGAAAGCCTCAGCTGATGAGAATCTTGGAGAACCTCTGTAGTAATCTCCTCAAACAGCATAGCAGACTAGAAAGTAGATTTTATAGGGAGCAGAGATTCCCCCATCCACCAAGACAGAGACATTGCTCTTACTTTTAGTCTGTCCAGTTCCTGTAGTTCCTTATTAGTACAGGTGACCATGGAAGAATTTACTGCTCCACTCTGAGAGGATGTGTTGTCCTCACATTCGCTGAGTTGACGGGAGAGTTTCATGATGACTTCATCTTTAGCTTGAATAGTTTCCATCAACATACCCCGTCGCTCACTGAGTTCTCCAACCTTACATTTCAGATTCTTTACTTCCTGCTGGAGACTATCTTTTTCCAGATTTAACTTTTCAAGTTGGTTGTTGAGACCCAAAATCTGGTCATCTTTTTGGTGCAACAGCTCTAATTTGTCTTTGGGAACCCCCTCGCAAAGACGGCTTGCAAAGTATTTATCATATTGGGAAGATCGGACTGTTTGCTGCAGAAGTCGCACAAGTTCCTGAGAATTTTAGAAAAAGAAAGATCACAATGAAGTTTTAAGTTTCTAAGCCTTATAAATTAGAAATCTAACATCAAGCAAAAGAAAACTCTGGAATGGGTTTTGCATCTGAATCATCAGCATGTAACAGATGTCATGTGTTTAAAGGAAAAAAGGAAACATTTACATGAGAATTTCTAGCAGGCTAACACCTTACAATGACTGGCCTACAGAGACAGCTTAAATATCTTTCACTGAGCTAAGGATCCTGCCTAGAAAGGCTACGAGCAGGTTTGGGAAGAGTAGTTGACAGCTGTGGCCCAGCAATTACTTGGAAGCTAAAAAAGGCCTACTTGTAAGAAGCCCTGTTGTAAGAAGACAAATAGGAAGAGGGCTTCAGTCAAAAAAAATTGAGGTGAACTTTACAGAATGGAAAAGCGAAAGATAACTAATTGCTCTCTTCCCTAACAGATGCAGAGAAAATAAAAGGAGGAAAAAAAAAAAAAAGCATGCTGCTTTGCTGAAAAGGAGTCTTTGGATGGCCATTTAGAAAATCTTGCCACAGAATCATCCAAGTAATTAAATGACTTTCCATAAGGGAGAAAAGGAGTTTCTGTGGTCTTCGCAAAAAAGACAGTATTGAACACTCTGAACTAGAGCTTTTTTGGAAGACACATCTATCTAACAATTTTATCATTTTCATTTTTTATTCCCTCACACAAAAAAAAAAGGACAAATATCTTTGCTCGTGGGATGGCGTAGATCCTGGGCAATTAAAACATTTATTCACTTGCATGAAAGATGTATGTGCTTTGCTTGGGGAATCATGGGTACCCATGTGTAAGAGAAGATGATTTTTAAGGCAGTTATACTGAAAGTAAAACCCTACTTGATTACTTGCTAGAATGAGGTCTTACTAAGACATTCAAGAAGCGAAGGCTGTTACATGCAAATAAGTCAAAGTGAAATTTAAAAGAAAATAAATACTGTAAAAGGAAGAGTTTGCCTTAGCTACTGACAGGTGCCCTCAGAAAGCTAAGCTAGAAGAAAAAACCCAACCCCACAACAACAAACAAAACCCAACAAAATCAACAAAAAACAACCAACGAATCCAAAACACAAAACCAAAAAAACAAAACCAAAAACCACACACAAGAAGATATTCCAGATGAACAATAAACACCAAGAAAGCAAGAACAGCAGCCTGCTCACTTACAAGTCTCACTAATCCAGATTATTACCTTTGCCATTTCCCGTGTTTGGTTAAGGATTTAACACTGTGGAACTGTGGGCAGATAAATTCAACCCCAGAAGCATTTGCAATACTTAGCGATAAAACCAGTTTCATTGGTATGTTGTTGAGGGTTGGTTTTTTTTTTTGGTTGGTTGGTTTTGGGTTTTTGGGGTTTTTTTAATAGTTCTCTGACACTAATTAAGAGTACAAGGACAGAAACAGGAATTGGTTCTGTGGAATTCCTGACGACTTGAATGTTCAATAATATATCTGGAAGTTTACAAAGACTTGGAAAATCATAAATATACACCTGAGAAATTCTTACAGATAAAACCAAGGTATTTAATAAATCTGAGTTACAAGGCATACAAACAAGAACACAATATGAGGGCAGTACTACACAGAGTTATGCTTAGGCCTATCATTTACCAGGG